CCAGTCTGAGGTTCCCATACATACAGAGGACTTGGGGACCACTGATGATCCCATACAGATGGACCAGGCCTAGGGAGATCCTATATCCTTTCTGATGTTTTGATATTTATTTGATAGTTGGCATTGGGACAATGCCAGCTTTTACTCGTAGGTGTGCACCCTATTTTTTCTGGATGACTATATATATATAGATTCTTGGTTTATTTTTATTGATTTTGTGTTTTTTTTTTACTTTGGGCTGTATATAACTTTATATTTCTGTATATATTCATCCCCCGTTGTATATTCTACTCCCCTATTGTACATATTCATTATATTTTCTATTTTTGCTAAATTTTCATTTTTAGATTTGTAGTTAGGCTCGTAGCCGCTTGTTTTGATTTTGGCGTTTCCAATAAGCCCTTGGTTTTCTTAATGCCACGGTTCTTTCCAAGGGTGGAGTATTGTGCAAACCGGGTGGCTCTTCCCAATGATAGATGGTGTGACAACCTTCTTAAGGGTTTGAGTCCGTTTCTTTGATTATTCTTTTGTTTTTGATAAGCGTAGTTAAAGGCGCCTCAAGCAAGGTTTTACTTGGGCCTAATACATTTGCCTTTGATCCTATGGTCAAAGACATAATGTTGTGTTCAAGATGGTGAAAATCTTGGCTTTGAGACTCTTGCGTTGACCAAACGATCATCGTGTGGTCTTTTTGGATCATTGAGTGTTTAAATCATAACTAATGTCGTTGTGGGCCCTCGACTCGATGTCTTTAGCAAATCCCTAGCGTGTGTGGTGAGGAATTGAAATTTGAGTCCAAGTCCCGAGCCAATGGTCTAGAACTTGCCCTGAATATCTGTTGAGGCGAAATCCTAGGTGAGATTTGACTCGAGAAATGATATAGGCTCTCCTTGAACCAAATGCTAAGTTGAACAATTTCATAGCCATCCANCGAAATTCCTAGGTGAAATTTGACTTGAGAAATGATTATAGGCTCTCCTTGATCCAAATGCTAAGTTGAACAATTTTATAGCCTTCCAATGAAATAATCCCTAGTTAACCCTTTTGAGCCTTAAACTTGTTTCTTTTAAGAACCAATGCTACAAGCCTATACCCGTTCTAAACGATTACCCTCTCTTGGCAGCCAAATCTTTCCTTGAGTAATGGAAAAAATCTAAGTTTAGGGGGAAAGACAAGAAAGGAAGCAAAGCAGTAAGGTACAAAAGAAAGAAAAGAAGGCAATGAAAAAGCAAGAAAAGAAAAAGGACAAAAATAAAGTCCCATGTGAACAAGAATAAAAAGGGATTCAAGGAAAACAAAAGTGAAAAAAAAGAGGTGTGGAGAAAGTAGAAAAGGGAGAAATGTTTTGAATTGTATAAGAAAGAGTGACAATGTGTCTCTCTAACCCCTTGTGAAGAAGTGAAATCCTCAAAAAGAGCCAAGAAAATTGTGCCGAAATGAATCAAAAGAAGTGCTTAAGGGAATATTGAACCCACATGAATAAAAATATGTCCTACCCTTGCCTAAAAGCCTTCAAAAAAAATGATTCCACAAAAGTCCTATTTGATCTCAAGTTGAAGGGAGCTTACATTAGTGAATACTTACATAAGGGGCAAGCATATGGTACTTAGAGCCGGACTTGTGAGCTTCCTTTTTGAGAGAGATGAGTGAAATTTCATTTGCTTCGATTTGTGTGTCAATATTTAAAAGGTGAGGTTTGCTTGGGGAGAGTTGAAGATGTGAGAGTTTGGGTTCCACAATGACCAAAGTAAGTGAGAAAAGCTCTTTGATGAAATGTGCCAACTCTTGATGCTCTTCTGTCGCACTTGATCCATAGTTTTCAAAGTTTTAAATGTGTTAATGATGCATTCGTATTGAGGGCAATTGTTAGTCCCAATTGATGGTTGTTGAGGTTATTTAAGGATAGCTGGAATTAATGGGATGTTCCTTTAAGGGGTGGGTCTTATTTATTTGCTTGAGGACAAGCAAAGGTTTAAGTTTGGGGGAGTTGATAAGTTAGGATTTTAAAGTGTTTATGTCCCTACTTGCCTATGCTTTGAGTATAAATTGATACAAAAATAGTCCCAAAATGCTCACAAGTTGTGCTTGATTGCAGGGTTGATTGACAAAGCGGCGAGATGTCAAAAATTGGCTCAAAAAGGAGTGAAACGTGCTCAAGTATCAAAGACCAAGAGAAGTGAAGAAAGAGGGGCCTAGTGCGGACCACGTAACAATGATCGCGGCCGCACTAGGAGGTTCAGAGACTGGACATTTTCGAGCCTAAGGTCACGCGGCCGTGGTAGGATTCACGCGGCCCGCGGAGAAGCTTCGCGGCCTCACTCCATTTCTGTGTGGTCCGCGTTCATAGGGTTCAGCAAAGGGGCATTTGTCCTCATGCGGTGCGCGGTCACGTCTGCGCGGACCGCGCCAGTTGCCTTCGCGGCTGTGGTACACTCCCACGCGGTCCGCATACCCCAGTTCAAGTCATCAAACAACTGAAACTCAAGAGCCAGTGCGGTCGCGGTCCGTTTTGTGCGGCCCGCACTGACCCCACAAGGGTATTTTTGTCCAATATTTCCAGCCTACTATAAATAAAATATTTTACAATTTTTTTAGGGGGGAGGTCAGATCTGAGAATAGGAGAATAGTTACGCTTGGTGTTGTAGCCATTTTTGGCATATTTGCTTCCCATTAACAATAGATTATTGTAGTTTCTTCTTAGTAATTAATTAATATGTGTAGTTCTTCATCTATTTCTTCAGTTTCTTCTTTAATTATGTGTAGCTAAACCCATTAGCTAGGGTTGTGGCTCAACCCTAGTGTGGGTAATTGATGGGTGTTGCCATCTAGGGTTAGATTGACTATGGGTGTTTGTTATTTGGGTTGATTTTATGATTTAATTTAGAATTGGTGGTTGCAAACACTGATTAAAGCTTTGTGGGTTCAACTCTTCTTGAGAAAGAGAGTTTATGACCTCAAAATTGACCCAACAAGGAATTGGGATGGACTCATGAGAAATGATAGTCCCAATTAACGGGTTAAATCTCGAGAGAGTAATCACCCTACTTGAACCCTAGTTGGTTGGTCTAATTTGCCAACCCAATTGGTCTCGAGAGAGTCAATTGGGTAAAATCATTCTTTCTACCAAGAGGTGTGAAAGTGGGTAAAAAATTGTGCAACGATTATAGCATAACCCCCAAACAAGTCAATCGAACCTAAGTAACATCTACTCGTCAATTAGCCACCAAGGTAATGCCACAACCCTAGTGCTCTTCCTTCCCATTAATTACAACTTAGCAATATTCTTCTAGCATAATTTAACTTTAATCTGTAGTTTTATAATAGTAGTTATAAATACAAAAACTCAAAAGATGATTGAAGTGACATTAGAAGCACAACTACAACTCTAGGCTAGAGAAAATACAACTCCACTACTAGCTCCTTGTGGAAATTCGATCCCGGACCTCTATTCGGGTAAAAGCTATTGCGATCCGCTCTTCGTACCATAGTGTAGTGTCGAGTTGGCAGCGATCAGGTGACAAGTATATACTCGGGCTTATATATAAAAAATTAACCGGCTTAGACTCTTAGGCTTCTTTGATGTACTTATTTGGAATTGTTTGCACTATTATATCTTTTATTCGTCATGTCTGCTATCACATACTTTATTTGAAGTTGTTGTTACATGTCACAATCTTTACTTGTCGAGTTTCCTCTCCTCAGGTGGCTACTTATGTATTTTGCCCTTTTTAGTCTAAAGTATAATTTTTCACCATTTACAAAACCTAAGCATTTTGGACTTTTGTTAATTTATGTGTTAAATCTTAGACTTTATTGAATTTAACGTGAAGAAGAAACAAAGTTAGAACACACAAAGTTAGCCTTTGCTCACGATTTATAGCTCGTGTGGACAAGCTTCTAAAAATAGTTTATTTTGAGAAGTTTTTTTTCTTTCTCAAAAGCACTTTCATTAAAAGTATTTTTAGGAGAAGCAGTTTATGTTTGACTAATTAATTTGAAAAGCACTTCTGAGCAACCATTAGTGTTTGATCAAGCATTCAAAATGTGATTTTAAGTGTATTTTTCTCAAAAATGCTTTTGGAGAGAAACTACATTTTTCTGCTTCTCCAAAATGCTTTTGCCTCTACCTAAAAATACTTTTTTTTTTTATAAAAATTGGCCAAACCCTTTAAATTTAAAACAAAAACACTTTTTGATGCCTTGAAGAAGCTTGGCCAAATAGGCAACTAATGAAATGGAAACGAATAAAGTTAAATGAAATTCTCAACAAGATTTAAACAAATTTCTAGTTTAAAAAGTGTTAAGAGGTGGTTTATTCTAAGTAAATCTTAATTCTTAAATTTGAAAGTGGACAAATATCATTAAATTAGATGTGATGAAACTAAAGTAATACTATATTGGAGGTCAGCCAAATCTGAGATGTTTAATAATTACATTTTGGTGGGTATTTGAGTATCTAATACTCCTTTCATTTCAATTTATGTGACATGTTTAACTGAATACGAAATTTAAGAAAAAATAAAGATTTTTGAAATTTGTACCCTTAAACAAGTTAAAAAGGGATCTAAAATATTTGCGTGGTCATAAAACTTTTCGTTAAGTGTAAAATTAGAAATTTAATTAAAATATTTCTAAATTTAGAAAGGAGTAAATTTTTTTGGAACGAACAAAAAATAGGTTACCTAAAACGGAAGGAGTAGAAAACAGCCTTAGTTGAGATATTTTAGGTGGCCACTCTGTATTTGGCCTTAAAACATAAAAAACGAACTCTATATATTGACTGTTGCTCTCCCACTAGACGTTCTCTGATGCTATTTGTCAACCATTTAGAAAACCATCAATTACGTCATCACTCACTAAAGCCCACAAAAGCAATCAAAAACCATGTTCAGCCTCCAGTCCCTGGTTTTCATTTTCATCTGTATTTTCCATTTGACTCTTATCTTCCACACCATGTGGTGGGCTCTCCATCACCATGAAAGGTTAAGCACTTCAGTCAAAGTACTATATATACACAGCGTATTCCCAGCACCATGCATATCCAGTCAGGAAATTCACATACTCACTTTTTATCCCAAAGATCATCATGGGTAGCTTTACAGAAGAGCAAGAAGCTCTGGTTGTCAAGTCATGGGATTCCTTGAAGAAGAATGCCGGCGAATGGGGTCTCAAACTCTTTCTCAAGTACGTATGCACACTCACAACTATAGCTTTTATTTATTTGTTTAAAATATATATCTTTATGAATTAAACCAAGGTGGCAGGTTTCTACTCTCTGTCATTTTCTTTATTTATTGTCCAAATAACCATATATATATATAACGCATTCTTCGACCTAAAACTTTTATTTTTTATGACCTATTTTGTGTACACGACCTCTAGACTGGTAGACAAGAGTAGGTTGTTCCATTGGTCAGGGGCGGACCTAGAGCATACAATACGGGTTTTTGGGAACCCAATAACTTTTGCATAGACCCTGTATTTATATTAAGAAATTCACTAAATATTTGTAAATATCTGTGAATCCAGTTATTATTGCATATTAATCTAAAATTACGGTATGGACCAATAAGCCTCAAATCATGAATCCGCGTCTGACAGTGGTGAGCACCCTCCACTTCCAACCAAGAGGTTGTGAGTTTGAGTCACCCTAAGAGCAAGGTAGAGAGTTCTTGGAGGCAGAGATGCCGATGATCTATCGAAAACAACCTCTCTACACCAGGGTAGAGGTAAAGTTTGCGTATACACTATCATTTTCAGACCGTACTAGTGAAATTATACCGGGTTGTTGTTGTTGACCTCTAGGCTTTCGATCGGTTTATTTGAATTGACTTGTTTCCTATGCTTGAATATATGATGGATGGATTTTTTATGCTTTTTAGGATATTTGAGATTGCACCATCGGCTAAGAAACTGTTCTCATTCCTCAAAGATTCAAATGTGCCCTTGGGGCAAAATGCCAAACTCAAGCCTCATGCTAAGTCTGTCTTTGTTATGGTAACAATATCGTTACAGTTAGCTGCTACTCCTTCCTCTCTACGTTACGTTCTTTACCTTTTTCGTTAAATCAGCTAAGCTAAATACAACATGATTAATGTATTATACACTGATGTCAATCTTTTTTTCATTTATTTGTTTCACTGAAGACTTGTGAAGCCGCAGTTCAACTTAGAAAAGCAGGAAAAGTAGTGGTGAGGGATTCAACTCTCAAAAAGTTGGGTGCTACGCACTTCAAATACGGCGTCGTTGATGAGCATTTTGAGGTATAATCTCCCTTGCATTAGGCTATACTTGACGTACCAAAACGATTTTCCCTTTTCAAGTAAGAATGAGTGATTTTATGGTGTGTCTCACCCGATTGATATTAATTGTGTAAGGTCTTTTTTTTTCTCATTGCGGACCCATATCTTACATATTTGGGTCCACAAAAATCTGGAATTACAAAGTTATGAAACAAAAAAAAAAAACTTCACACAATTAGTGTTTAGTTGTGTGAAGCACAAAATAAAATGTTTCACTAAGAATGGATCTTCTTAGTACTATAAATGTCATGTTTAATGGAGTAATACATAACTGACTTTTTGATTAATTAGTGTCCGAAATCAAATCTATCAAAACTTCTTTTTCAAATAAAAAGCTTAAATTAAATATTTCAAAAACTATAAAGAGACAACAACACGAAAATTGCATTGAAAAATCAACAACGGTCCAAGATGACTAATTTTGACATTAAGGATATTTTAAAAAATTGGTGAGTGCCTCTGTTAGGCATTCGGGAGATGGTTTCTCGACTAACGAGTTATCTGTCATGTTTTATAACCACTAGAATTATAAAATACTCTTTTGGCTCTTGTATCACTAAAGGGGCTTACAATGTTTCCGCTATAATTATAAATACTCGAAATAATCTCATGCAAATTAATCTCGTGTTTTTTATTTTTTTTCTCTAATTTCTCTCATAATTGATTTTAGTTTTCTTTTTCCGCCTTAAAAATTTAATTTGATAGCTAAAGGCGCCAACTTTCGAGTGTGTAATTGACAAAATAAATGACGGAAGAATGTTTGAATTGACAGGTAACAAAGTTTGCCTTGTTGGAGACAATCAAAGAAGCTGTTCCAGATATGTGGAGCGTTGATATGAAGAATGCGTGGGGCGAGGCCTTTGATCAGTTGGTCAATGCTATCAAGACCGAGATGAAGTAGACTTCTTCATCCTATCCTACAAAGTTGAATGCAAACATATACTAATAGTATTTGTTTTTTTCAAATTTTCATCAAAATGTAATACGTAGCTCCTGTTGGGTTATGTCTTTCGTGTATGTGTATGAAATACTATGAATTACTACATTTTTCTAAAAGAGGAAGGTCATACTCGCATCGCATGTCGGTGATGTTACGAGAAGTACCTGGTGAGTTTTAGACTAGATTTCACCTTACCTCCTTAAACTTTTAGGGTAGGGAAACAATCCCCCTCACCTTTTTGAAAGAGAAAGGAAACTCTCTTTAACTCAAAAACGAACCAAAAAAATAAAAAAAAATGATCCTTGTCAGAATTTACAAAGTGATCCTTATCACTTGATTTAGGACCGCTAGGCCATAAATTTTGCCAAAATAAATTTGGAATTTATTTGGCAAATATATGTATGACCATAGATTTTGCTTACATTTTGGCAAAATTCCAAATCCCAAATTTTAAATCCCAAAACCAGCTCAATAGCTTGTTTTGGGCCAAAATATCACTATTACATTTTTTAAAAATTGTCCTAAACTTTTACATTTTATAAAAAACCCACCATTTATTATTTTGTAACAATTTTATTTCGTCTTCTCGGTCTTTTGTATCAAATTTATTTATGTTCAGGACTATGATTTGCGATAATATGATAAATGTTATTGATAATAATTCTGTTGGGTATTTGTAATAGTTTTTAGAACTTGTGGGTATAAGTCATGTTTCATTTTTTTCCAAAATCAATTTAAGAAATATGTTATGAGAACTGGTGTTCAAACACATTTTCATCTTCAAACCAAACTTCACCCAAATCAAAATTTTTAAAATAAATTTGGAAATCTATGGCCAAATGCTAGCTCCGTGTTTACTATTTTCCTGTTCATATAACATTGGTATATATATTTGTTGCTCTACTTATTATATACTTTTATTCTATTGTTCACGTATACCTATGACTTTAGTTGACTTTTTCTAATGCAAGACCCCGAGAGCTCTGCCAAAGTAGTCAGCTCCTTATTGCCCTGTTGGGTTAGAACTAAACCACGTCGGAAATTTCTGTTCAAGATTCACAGCCGCTTCTAGCTGACATGCCATCATCTCCTATAGTTGGTGTATCGGTGGTAAAATGACGTAACACGTGGAATATTTGAATGCTGATATAGCATGACACGTGAAATAGTGATATAGAAATAAGTGATATCCTCAATTAAAAGAATTAATTGGGAGAAAAAACCACGGGGAGAAATACCCAAAGACCGTACAGAGAAGAGAATTAGACCTAACAGTTGACAAAGAAGAGATGAGGACAGAATAAATAATGAACAAAAGGAACGAAAGATACATGAACTGTAAGTAAATAAGGAAGGATAATCAGAATAGTTATATGGTATTTATAGCTATAAATATGCCAGTTATAGATATCCAAGATAATGGGCAATCAATATCATTATGCCCATAATAAACCCAAATTACGTGGGAAAACCATTATAATTGTACATTCATATATAAGGACACAATTTTATTTGTAAAGATAGATCTCAATACTATTGAAATATACTCTTTACTTTAATGCTTTTTCGAAATTCTCTATCTTAATTTTACATTTTGATCATCAATTAGTTCCTTTGCCATACTTATCAATTTCTTTAAATATCATTGTGAAAGTGAAGTAAAATTTGGCTATTAGTAATCCGTTTTCTCCTAAATTTAGACTTTGGTCAAGAAACATATTTTTTTGTTAAACAAATTGGTTCAGTTACCGGAAATCTGATAATCTTTTCACTTTACAAATTATCTTTATGACAAGCAATCATGCCAACTGTCAACGAAAAAAACCAGCTAAATCCACAGGACGGAGAAACTCCACAAATCCCTTCACCACAAGAATCTCCTCGACTGTCCCGAGAAGGGACACCTGAAAGATCAACAACACACACGAATGATCATTAAGGGGACGAGCAAACTATCGAACAAGACGCTTTAAAACAATTGATCGCAGAACACGTGAACAACGCTCTCTAAGATTTTATTAGGGGATTGCCAACTGCTCCACCAACTCCTCCTCTAACCAATACCGCAATCATAGAAAACCTATGCCCGGGACTTGCCAATTCAGAAAACGGAGGAACTCCCAGTGAATCTCGTGATGGAAGGTTAGGTACACCAAATAATTCTGATTTACAAAGTTTGGTACTAACTTTGCAGAAATAGCTAAAAGAGCAAAATAATCGCATAGAACAAATACCTGACGTACCACCCGTGATTAAAGGTGTAGATATTGATAAATATCCACAGCAGCCCTGGAAGCCGAGTGCAACACCTTTGCCGATTCGTAAGAAGATTAAAATTCCTGATATTCTAAAATATGATAGAACAACTGACCCACGAGATCATCACGTAACCGTGTTTACATCTGGCGTGAAAGGCAATGATTTAACTAAGCAAGAAATCGAGTCAGTTTTGGTCAAAAAAATTGGTGAAACACTCACGAAAGGAGCATTAACGTGGTATTCTATCTTACCTGAAAACTCTATTGATTCTTTTGCTGAGCTTGCAGATTCATTTATAAAAGTACATTCGGGGGCTCAAAAAGTTTAAAAAAAAGGAGAGAAGACATCTTTAAGGTAAAACAAGGAAACACAGAACTACTCAGATAGTTTGTGGATAGATTCCAATGGGAGAGGATGATGTTACCACGAGTACCTAAAAATTGGGCGGCCAAGGCGTTTGTAAGCAATCTAAATGAGAAATGTTCAGAAGCCACGAGGAGTCTGAAAGAAAGTTTGCGAGAATTTCCAGCAACAACTTGGAACGACGTGTATAACAGATACAACACGAAGCTGCGAACAGAGGAAAACATAGTTGCACAACCAAGGGTTGATGAAAGAGCAGGGTCAAGATGCTCAGAATCAGAAAAAAGGACCGGAAAAAATAGGTACGAGCCTTATATGGGTCCTGCAGGTCAAGATTCTCGTTCCAAACAAAAAAACTTACAATACAAATCGAGGTCAAGGCGAAAAGATGCAGGTTCTTCACCTAGATTCAGAAAGGAACGGGATGTGTGAGGAGACAATTTCAACACACATACGAGAATCTGAGACTATAGTTTTAGTGTTAGTACCTCCGATTTGGTGACTATTTTAAAAGGTATGGGAGATAAGGTACGGTGGCCTAAAGAAATGAGGTTAGATCCGAGCAAAAGATATCAAGATTATTGGAGTGAATTTCACAACTATCATGACCATAGAACAACATATTGCAGGTTACTACAAGGAAAGGTTGAGCATTTATTGAAGCAAGGTTATCTAACTGACCTGTTCAGCGAGAAAGGTAGGCAATCATATATGAAGAATAGACAAGAACCCCCAAAACCCCCATCTTTGAAAAGAACAGTCAATGTAATAACCGGGAGAGACGAGGTCAATGATGTGACTTATACAGCAACAAAGAAGACATCAAAAGTCACAGTCACTCATGGGAAGAAAATACGTCACACTTTGGAAGGAGATAATATAACATTTGATGATGAAGATGCGGATGGCTTGATGATTCCTCACAATGACGCACTAGTAATATCCTTACTTTTACACGATACTAACGTAAAACAAGTTTTGATTGACCCAAGTAGTTCCGTAAATATTATTTTACTAAGAGTGGTGGATGAAATACAAATTGACGACAAGGTGATACCAAAGGCCCGAACTTTATCTGGGTTTGATAATTCAAGTGTTATCATAAAAGGAGAAGTAGTGCTAGCTACGTTTGCAGAAGGGGTTATCAAGGATAGAAAGTTTCAAGTGATAGATGCAGACATGGCTTATAATATAATCCTAGGAAGATCATGGATTCACGATATGGATGTTGTACCGTCCACATTGCATCAAGTTATCAAATTTCCTTCAAAGTGAGGGATTCATCAAATCCGTGGATATTAACAAGCTTCGAGGAGTATCAATTATGTAATTGCTACCAGCACAATGAACTAGGTGGAAGGCAAGAAATAGCAGTTATAGAATTCAGTTGAGGATGTTGCAATACAAACCTCAACTGAAGGCATTCCAGCACAAGAGCCAGAAGAAAGTGAAAATATTAAGACAACTACCGAAGAACTCAAAGCGGTGGTGCTATTTAAACACTGGTTGGACAGAAAAGTTTTTAGGGTGTAAACCTGAGCACAAAAATGAAAGGTAAGTTAATTGAAATTTTAAGAGCTAACTCAATTTGCTTTGCTTGGCCGCATTCAGATATGACAGGTATACTGCAAGAGGTGATGACTCACAAACTGAACGAAGACCCATCATATCCACCTATCAAGCAGAAGAAAAGGAAGCAAGGATCCTTCAAAAATTAGGTGATCCAGGATGAGGTACAAAAACTTTAAAAATTGGATCAATACAATAGGTAAAATATCCTAACTGGCTAGCTAATACTGTGGCAGTACCAAAAAAATGGGATATTGCGAGTTTGTGCAGATTATACTGACTTAAATAAAGCTTGTCCTAAAGATTCATTCCCTTTACTGCACATAGATCAACTAATTGATTCTACCGTAGGACATGAGCTTTTAAGTTTTTTATATGCATATTCAGGATATAAATAAATAAAGATGGATCCTACAGATAAAGAAAAAACTTCCTTTATCATAGACAGAGGGACTTACTATTACAAAGTCATGCCTTTTGGTCTAAAAAATGCTGGAGCCACATACCAAGATTGGTAACTAAAATATTTCAAGAACATATGGGAGAGACTATGAAAGTCTACATTAATGATATGCTAGTCAAATCGACACAGGCAGGAGATCATTTCTAGCATTTGTCGGACACTTTTCAGATTTTCCGCAAGTACAATATGAAGCTAAATCCAGAAAAAATGTGTTTTTGGCGTATCTTTAGGTAAGTTTTTAGGTTTTCATGTTTCTAACAAGGGAATTGAAGTAAATCCTGCACAAATCAAGCTATAGAGGAAATACCCGATATACTCTCAAGTAAAAAGGAAGTGCAGAGATTAACATGAAGAATAACAGCACTAGGGAGATTTATTTAAAAATCATCAAAAAAAAGTTTTAAATTCTTTTTCAGTATTGAAAAAGTAGAATCAATTGAATGGACTGATGAATGCCAACAAGCCCTC